GTCTCTGCAAAAAGTACTTATATGGGTGGGATTTTAAAGCATAACCATGTCACTCCATAATGACATTTGAAGGAAAATGTGTGTGTAATACATTACAGAGGTGGGACTTGAGGTCCATTTTTTTACTACTGAAGTTACTTTCAGCTCTAAAACTTGGTCCTTATTATGGTAACTGCTACACTCAGGTAGGCAAAGCCCAGAGGAGAGCTGCCATTGCCTGTCACCAGCTCTGGCAGTTTCAGCCTTCAGCCGTGGCTCTGAAGCTGTGAGGCAGTAGATTACAAGGTTGCTGGGAAGGTTGGAGGTCTGACCTGATCCAGTGCAACTGGGACTTCGGGCAGTTACATCTACCTGCATACAGTGAGTTTCTAGTGGGGTTTTGTTTGTTTTTCTTGAGAAAAAGCAAAGTTGCTGCCCCCATAAGGAAACACCTGGCATTTAATATTCTTTCTGCATTGTCCTATACTTGAATAATGGTTTTCTGCATCACGGGAAGATTTCTTGGCCAGACATGCTAGAGTCATGCATATCCATTTCTCTTATATAGAGATAAGTTTGGGACATTTAGCAATGTTATAAAAGGCACTAAAGGTGGGCCAGTTCACCCAAGTGACTGCTACTGTTAGTGATATTTGACAGGTATTTTCAAGATTGTTATCCTGTTAACAAGTCTGTCTGTGACCCTTAATGTAAAAGTTTAATTGGCATACTACAGTGAATACAAACAGACTGAGAGGAAACAAAAAATGCACCCTTCTGGTGTTAGACATGACACTTAAATGGGAATATCTCTTGAAGAAATAGAATTCAATCCTTTTCTCTCTAATCTGCCCAAACCTGCTATCTTGATATGTCTTGGGAGCAAGGAAAGCTGAACTGTCAGGAAAGGTGACAGCATTTTCTGTCTTCAAAATTTTCTTGTTGTTAAGCTTTCTGGTCTTCTAGCCTTTGTTCGTATTAAGTTTTACAGTTGGCATTTCAGTTTGTTTTGCCATTATCATAATGCTGTGGGGATTACTTATTTCCAATATTTGTCCACAGTTTCTTGCAACTTGATCCCAGGGTGCTTGGCTTTTGGGCCTTGGGGTTGTTTTCCTCATGAATGAATTTTCAGTCATGGAGCTACTAAGTTTAATCCTTTGTCAGAGAATGGCTTCACATCTCTCTATTTCTGTGTGACAAATCTTCTTCAAATAACCTTTGTTTTACTGTCTTCAGACATTCCTAAATCTGCTCCTTCTCTTAAGCTGAAGAGATTCTTAAATCTTTGAGCTCTGTAGCTTAGTATTCATCTCTTCTGTAAATGTTAAATTAGTTTAGACTCTATATTTGTCCGTGAATCTAAGTTGTCTTAAAGCTTCAGTTTCGCCCACAGTTCTTCCTGCTTTGGAAAGCTCTGCACAGAGCCTCTGATGCTTACTTTGTCACTTCCCCACCCTCTTCCCTGTATCCCTGCCAGTGCCCAGACCAGCTGTTCACCACTTCTGCTCATTCTCTAATCTGCTGTGCAGCAAGGTCACCTTTGCCTTTTTTCTCACCTACCTCAGCTTCATGCTTTTCCCTGTTCAGCAGCTTCAGGTAGGATGCACAAGCACAACAGCGTAAGCAGAGTTGGAGACAGCAGGAGTCAGGGGGTGGATTTCCAGGATCCATCTTAAACACTGAGTTAAAAATTAATGTCTTAGCTGAATGGTAGAGAACACTTCCCTGTTTTGGCACTCTATTATTGAACAGAGTAGGAAAGTACATAAAAATACACATTTCTTAGTCTTCACTGTTCTACTATGAGTCTGCATATTTTCATGTTCCCTTCAGCTACAGACCTTTCCTTTGTTCGTATTCAGTTATACCCTTTAAGGCATGTATCTAAGAGTTTTTACAATTAAAATCACCTGCAATATATACATAAGCTAATACTTTTACTAAATCTGGCACCCAAATTGAGTACCTTCAGAAGAACCTAGTAGGTCACCCTTAATTTTTAAGTTTTGCAGTCAAGTCTGATGGTTATTCCTTGGCTTAGATAGAGTAGTGCTTTAGCATGGTCTTCTGTGCAGCTGTTGAGCACATTGTCTTCTGACTTGAATCTGAATGTGTGCATTCAGTTTACTGTTGATAAAACTTACCAGTTGTAATCTTTTTTGTTGGTAAAGTTTAGCTGTAGTTGACAGATGTTGATACCAGTTGAGTATTCAACATAGTAGAGTATATATGGGGAATCTTTGAAATGCTTCCAACAGAGTCCAGGTTTCGGGGGATCTTCTGGGAGGGATTTGCCTGGTGGTGGTGAAGGTTGCAAAACTGGGAGTTTGGATCATGGGGGCTTCCTGACTTGAGGGAAAGGAGAAGTAGAGTTTGATGGAGAGAATGGAAGCAAAGCCCAAAGGAAATTGTTGGGTATCCATTAACTTAGCATGCTAAGATGACACGTGCTGTCTTGTTGGGGCAATAGTATAGCAGTTACACAAGAAAATGCAACAAGAGAACTTCCCCTTATAGTCAAGGAGGAATTCTTAACGCCCTCCCTAGGGACCATATCTGCTACCTACAACTACTGTTCAACGGTGCATCCTGCTGA